CACAATTATGTCTGTTGTGCAATTTTGCTGACTAACCTATTGCTAGATTATCCTGTGATTTTTAGTGATACATTTTAAACTGGCACAGATGAGTCTTATTTCTAGATAACATGTATTTCTGTGTTCCTTAACGTGGTGCTGTTTGCATACATTGCTTCTGTAGCTCTGTTGTGCTCTGGAACTATGTTTGGTAGTGTGCAAGCCTTGTGCTGTGCTATTTCTGTGGAGCCCACACTTTGTGTTTTGGGGCATGCACATGTGCTTCAGTAAAGAGAATAATCTGCTTGTTCCTGAAAGCAAAAGATACTGATTCTCCACTAGTGCTTTTAAAGGGCTCATCTCTTTCTCACGTTGTCTGTTGAAGATTTAGAGGTGTCCAGGTTCATGTCCCAGCTTCAGGAATGAGGTTAAGGGTCTTGACTGGGGACAGTTCATACTCTGTTTTGTATGAGAGTAGACAGTGAGATGACTCCTTTAGCTCTTTTCTGTTTCTTTTTTGCTTGGCTCAGAATTTACACCCTTTAGTTGTCTGTAAGCCATCATGCAGCAGGCTAGCGATGACTTGGTTGCCATCATTGAAACGTGGTGGGACCACTCCCATGACTGGAGTGCAGCAATGACTGGCTAAAGGCTCTTCAGAAGGGACAGGCAGCACAGAAGGGGTGGTGGTGTGGCTCTCTATATTAGAGTGCTTTGATGTTGTGGAACTTGAGGCTGAGGCTGGGAATGATTAGGTTGAGTCCCTATGGGTTAGGATCAGTGGCAAGGCCAACAAGGCTAGCGTCCTCTCTGGGGTCTATTACAGACCTCCAAACCAGAATGAGGAGACAGATGAGGAATTCTACAGGCAGCTGGCAAAAGTTGCAGTTGGCCCTTGTCCTGGTGGGGGACTTCAACTTCCCAGACATATCCATATTCCCAGACATGCAATACAGCTCAGAGGAAGCAGTCTAGGAGGTTTCTGGAGTGTGTGGAAGATAGCTTCCTGACGCAGCTGGTTAGTGAGCCTACCAGGGGTGGTACCCCACTAGACCTTCTGTTCATAAACAGAAGGACTGGTGAGAGATGTGGTGGTTGGGAGCTGTCTTGGGCAGAGTGACCACAAAATGGTGGAGTTCTCTATTCTTGGTGAAATCAGGAGGGGGACCAGTAAAACCACTGTCTTAGACTTCCGGAGGGCTGACTTTGAGCTGTTCAGTACACTGGTTGGTAGAGTCCCTTGGGAGGCCGTTCTGAAGGGCAGAGGAGTCCAGGAAGGCTGGGCAGTCTTCAAGAAGGAAATCCTAATGGCTCAGAAGCAGTCTGTCCCCACGTGCCCAAAGATGAGCAGGCGTGGAAGAAGACCAGCCTAGCTGAACAGAGAGTTGCGGCTAGAGCTTAGGAAAAAAAAAGAGAGTTTATGATCTTTGGAAAAGAGGGTAGGCCACTCAGAAGGATTATAAGGATGTTTTAAGGATGTGTAGGGACAAAATTAGAAAGGCCAAAGCTCATATGGAACTCAATCTGGCTACTGCTGTTAAAGACAACAGAAAATGTTTTTATAAATACATTAACATGAAAAGGGGGACTAAGGAGAATCTCCATCCTTTACTGGATGCAGGGAGGAACTTAGTGACGAGAGATGAGGAAAAGGCTGAGGTGCTTAATGCCTTCTTTGCCTCAGTCTTTAGCGGCAAGACCAGTTGTTCTCTAGATAGCCAGTACCCTGAGCTGGTGGAAGGGGATGGGGAGCAGGATGTGGCCCTCACAATCCACGAGGAAATGGTTGGCGACCGCTACAGCACTTAGATGTACACAAGTCGATGAGGCCAGATGGCATGCACCCAAGGGTACTGAGAGAACTGGTGGAAGAACTGGCCAAGCTGCTTTCCATCATTAATGGAAATGGCCAAACCATTTTCCGTCATCAGCAGTCCTGGCTATCAAGGGACATTCCAGACAACTGGCAGCTAGCAAACGTGATGCCCATCTACAAGAAGGTCCAGAAGGTAGACCTGGGAACTATAGGCCTGTTTGTTTGACCTCAGTGCCAGGGAGCACGTTATCTTGAGTGTCATCACGCAGCACTTGCAGGGCAGGCAGGCAATCAGGCCCAGTCAGCATGGATTTATGAAAGGCAGGTCCTGCTTGACGAACCTGATCTCCTTCTATGACAAAGTGATGCGCTTGGTGGATGAGGGAAAGGCTGTGGATGTGGTCTACCTTCACTTCAGTAAGGCTTTTGACACCATTTCCCACAGCATTCTCCTTGGGAAACTGGCTGCTCTTGGCTTGGACTGACGTACGCTTCGTTGGGTTAGAAACTGGCTGGATAGCCAGGCCCAAAGAGTTGTGGTGAATGGAGTTAAATCCAGTTGGAGGCTGGTCAATGGTGGAGTCCCCCAAGGCTCAACACTGGGGCCAGTTTTCTTTAATATCTTTATTGATGATCTGAATGAGAGGATCGAGTGTACCCTCAGTAAGTTTGCAGATGACACCAAGCTAGGTGCGTGTGTCGATCTGCTGGAGGGTAGGAAGGCTCTGCAGGAGGATCTGGATAGGCTGCACCGATGGGCTGAGGTCAACTGCATGAAGTTCAACAAGGCCAAGTGCCGGGTCCTGCACCTGGGGCACAACAACACTAAGCAGTGCTGCAGGCTGGGAGATGAGTAGTTGGAAAGCTGCCTGGTGGAGAAGGACCTGGGAGTATTGGTTGATAATCAGTTGAATATGAGCTAGCAGTGTGCTCAGGTGGCCAAAAAAGCCAACAGCATCCTGGCTTGTATAAGAGGCAGTGTGGCCAGCAAGGCTAGGGAGGTGATTGTCCTCCTGTACTCAGTTCTGGTGAGGCTGCACCTCAAGTAGTGTGTTCAGTTTTGGGCCCCTTGCTACAAGTAGGATATGGAGGTGCTTGAGAGGGTCCAGAGAAGGGCAATGAAGCTGATGAGGGGTCTGAAGAACAAGTCTTATGAGGAGTGGCTGGGGGAGCTGGGTTTGTTCAGCTTGGAGAAAAAGAGGCTCAGGGGCGACCTTATCGCTCTCTACAGATACCTTAAAGGAGGCTGTAGCGAGGTGGGGGTTGGTCTGTTCTCCCACGTGCCTGGTGACAGGATGAGGGGGAATGGGCTTAAGTTGTGCCAGGGGTGTTTTAGGTTGGATATTAGGAAGAACATCTTCACAGAAAGGGTTGTTAGGCATTGGAATAGGCTGCCCAGGGAAGTGTTTCAGTCATCATTCCTGGATGTCTTTAAAAGATGTTTAGATGTAGAGCTCAGTGATATGATTTAGTGGAGGACTAGTTAGTGTTAGGTCAGAGGTTGGACTGGGTGATCTTGGAGGTCTGATTGATTCAAAGAACAAAGCCGAAATTTCTAAGGGACGAATTATCCTTTCTTGTCAGCGCTGGATGCATGGGGGATCCTCCCACCTACACCTAATGTGCATGTTCGAAGTAACAAACTATCTCATATTTATACAGCAAAACAATGAATATTCTATTATTGCCTATACATATTCATTACCTAAACTCGCCTACTCTCGGTTTGTATGCTAATTAGCTTATCAGTCCTTGTGCAAAGCCTCCCAAGAATTGTGGGCCGGGGTCTTCGGGACGTGGGCAGTGGTCTTTGGGAAGAAGACCGTAGGTCTTCCTCATGATGTACTTTTCACCTTTTGCTAAAGAATGCCAAGTTGACTGAATCAGTTGTTTTCCAAGCTGCAGGAATGATGAGTTGGCCCAAGTCATCTCAAGTTTCATCCTAACTGAGGGTCGACAGATAACAAGATGTCGTATATTTTGTTCTCATTAATTTTTAACCACAAGATTTATTCTATCCTAAAGTGAGTTTATACAATATCATCTTCCAACCTAGATGATTCTGTGATTCTGTGATTACACAGAAAGCTTGCAGTAAAATTGGATGCAATAAAACAATATGATGCAGGCAAATAATATCCAACCAAAAAGATAGCAAAGGAGCTGACAATTCAAAATGTATAAAAGGAAATATATGTTGTTACAGGGCTGAACTACAGTTTGTAATTCACTTATTTGGCAACTTGCTCAGGACCCCTGCAGCACTGAAGGAGAGGTGGGTGCTGCTATGAACGCCAGGGATAGTTGGAGCTGTTAGCAGCATGGGCATGCTTTGCCGGGGACACAGGCGTGTAGCCGGGCTAGTCGGAGAGGGAGGAGGGCTCCCCAACCCCATCTGTGTTTGGGAAAAGCTCGGAGGGCGTGTTGCTTTCGCTTTCACTTCCAGCCAGGGGCCGGCGATGCTGGAGGAAAAGAAACTGGGCGGTGCGAAGCGGGCCGGGCCAAGCGAGGTAAGCGGGCTGCACTCCGGGCTGCGCTGCGGAGCCGAGCGGGTCTGAGCCAAGGTAAGAGCCTGGGGGCTGCGGCCTGCAGGGGCCCGGCGGCAGGGCCCCGCCGGGGGGAGTTGTGCATAGCGCCGTGGGGCCCGGGGTGTAATATTTATTTATTTATTTATTTATTTATTTATTTATAACCCTCATTTAAATGATGTGCTTCTTCTTGACTTACTATTTACTGTCATTCGGTATTTTTTTTCTCTGCTCATTTTTCTCTTGCTCCCTATTTTAGTTATTGTCATTGCTATGTATTTATCTGTTGTATGTGTCACTGAGCCTGACAGTACTCACATTTTAAAAGCATGTATCTCTCAGTTCCATTCTGAAGGAGTTGATTTTACTTCTGTCCGGAGGAATGTTACTGATTTTTCTCAGGATTCAGTAAATGATTCAACCTTTTCTTGCCAAGAAATCTGTTAAGAAATCTTTCATAATCACTGTATTCACTGCTCTGCTTTCTAAGCCTGTTATTCCAGTAAGTCTACAAAACATCAGCAAATCATCCACTTCAGTTAGAACCTAGAAATTTTCTATGAACGTTATCCTATTGCCACCATTTTATATTCTATACAACAGTAGTGGTCTGACGGAATTTGGGTTGTCACTGTACTAACAGGTGAGGACTTAGACATGTCCTTCAATATTTACAGGGACTTCGTACTCAGATGCCGTGTCAAGATGGAACAAGAGTCTATGGGCAAGATCAATAATTACTGTCAAAAGACTAAATTACAGCTTGATTATGTCAAAGTGAAGAGCACAGGCCCATCTCATGATCCTGAGTAAGTTCACTATGCATGTCAGTAACCATCAGGATTCTTGATGCAAATTGGACAAAGACTGTAGTCATAGAGGTGGATTGGTTGAAAGCGTATGTGTGGTAGAGAGCTGTTTGAAAACACAAATGGGTGTGCTGGTACAGAGGGTGCCATGCGATGCACAGGGTTTAAGAAGAAAACTTTTTTCAGAGTTAATGGTTGTACTTTGAGAGCAATAGCAATGCACAGGTTACTGGAAACTGCACTGTATTTATGGTACGTGTTTGTCACAGAATACCTCAGGAGATGGATGGATTGCCGCAAGTAGTTAATGACATGCTAATCTACGTGCTATATTTTTTTATTTACTTTTACAAAGTACAGAACATGTGACTTACATTGTTAAATTCTAAACATCAAGGTAGGGTGTATAGTAATTGGATACCAAAGTTCTTTCCCTTAAACTGTTTTGCTTTTAGTTTTAGAGATAGTTACAATCGATCAAATGTGTGTTGTATTTTGTTTCCTTGTTTGTTTTTTGACACAAATATGGTGTTTTGCTGTGTTTTTTTTTGTTTGTTTGTTTTTTGTTTTTTTTTTTTTCCTCTTACCAGAAATCATAGATACCCAACATCTGTGATGTTTCCTTCTGTTTCTTTGCTAGTTTGAGTGAAGATGAGTGTCATGTTAATAACCCTAGAATCATAGAATGGTTTGGGTTGGAAGCAACCTTAAAGATCATCTAATTCAAAAGCCCCTGCCATGGGCAGGAACTCCTTCCACTAGACCAGGCTGCTCACATCAGGATGTTTCTTTTAATCTACTGTCTCCGTGTTGCCAGAAAGCACTGTTTGTGCTGATTTCTTCTTAGACCTGACCATAATCCCAGAGTAAATTAATAAGTATTATCTGGGTCTCAAATTTTGAGTAATTATCTCTTCTTTTCTTTTCTTTTTTTTTTTTTCATGCAGCTCATATAATTCATGAAAGTAAGCCTTATCGCAGTGACGTGCAGCTGGCCTCAAACAGCTACATGTTCATACTTCAGAAGGGATGGCACGGGACTAATGGAATTTGCATACATTTCAAATTTACTCATTTATTCCATTTTTTGCACTTTTCCATTTTTCTGCATGTTCTGCCTGTTCAAAAAAAATATAATTCAGCCAATTGTCTGGTATCTTGTAGGTGACATGTGCTGTAATAGTGTTATGTAGGAAAGTCCTGGATGACTTGGGCTGTTCTGAGGAGCAAAGTACGCAGTGTTGGGCCACGAGATGAGTGCTGTATACCCCTTCCGTGCTCTTGTGGTGCTCTTTCACAAAGAATTTCTTTCTTTCATGCTTTTTTTTTTTTTTCCTTTATTCTTTTTGTATGTTGTTTTCTATATGTGAAGCATGCAGCAAATTGTGTCGTGCCTAGTCCTACTCTTTATCTCCTGAAAGTCTGTTGTTAAGGCATGTGGATGCAATGATTACAGGCACTATTTTGCCTCACAGTCCGTTTTCCACCTAAATGTTTAATGTATTCATTCATTTCTGGGTGAGATATGATCTTGCTGAAAACAACCATTTGCTATTAAGTCACTGTGGTGTGGTGGCCTGACCCCAGCTGGCAGCTAAGCCCCCAGCCAGCCGCTCACTCACTCATCCTGCTGTATATCAGAAGGAATCAGAAGGACAACGTGAGAAAAACTTGAGATGCAGAAAATTTAGTGAGGCAAAGCTGTGTGCCAGCAAAGCAAAATTCTGTCACTGGTTCCCATCAGGAGGCAGACATTTAGCCATTTCCAGGAAAGCAGGTCTTCGTCACGCTTAATGGTTACTTGAGAGGACAGATGTCATAAAACCAAATGCCATGCTTCCTCCTGCTTTCCCCCAGCCTTTATTGCTGAGTCGGATGGGATGAGATGGGATGGGATATTCCTTTGGTTAGTTGGGGTCAGCTGTCCTGGCAGTGTCCCCTCCCAGCTTCTTGTGCACCCCAGCCTCCTCACTGGTAGGGCAGTGTGAGAAACAGAAACGGCTTTGATGTAGTGCAAGTAGTGCTCAGCAACAGCAAAAACGCTATTGACGATGCTTCCATCACAAATCCAAATCACAGCACCATGCAAGCTCAGTTGGAAAAAAAAAAAAAGACTCCAGCCTAACCTGATTGAGTCAATCTCGAGCTGACTTAGTTTCTTGTTCTCACTCACTGCATTGCTGCTTCTCTATTCTAACACGTGGAGGCTTAGACATGTCCTTCAATATTTACAGGGACTTCGTACTCAGATGCCGTGTCAAGATGAAACAAGAGTCTATGGGCAAGATCAATAATTACTGTCAAAAGACTAAATTACAGCTTGATTATGTCAAAGTGAAGAGCACAGGCCCATCTCATGATCCTGAGTAAGTTCACCATGCATGTCAGTAACCATCAGGATTCTTGATGCAAATTGGACAAAGACTGTAGTCATAGAGGTGGATTGGTTGAAAGCGTATGTGTGGTAGAGAGCTGTTTGAAAACACAAATGGGTGTGCTGGTACAGAGGATGCCATGCGATGCACAGGGTTTAAGAAGAAAACTTTTTTCAGAGTTAATGGTTGTACTTTGAGAGCAATAGCAATGCACAGGTTACTGGAAACTGCACTGTATTTATGGTACGTGTTTGTCACAGAATACCTCAGGAGATGGATGGATTGCCGCAAGTAGTTAATGACATGCTGATCTACGTGCTATATTTTTTTATTTACTTTTACAAAGTACAGAACATTTACAAAGTACAGAACATGTGACTTACATTGTTAAATTCTAAACATCAAGGTAGGGTGTATAGTAATTGGATACCAAAGTTCTTTCCCTTAAACTGTTAGCATGTTTCCCTTAATGTTTCCCTTAAACTTAAGCAATAGCAATGCACAGGTTACTGGAAACTGCACTGTATTTATGGTACGTGTTTGTCACAGAATACCTCAGGAGATGGATGGATTGCCGCAAGTAGTTAATGACATGCTAATCTTTTTAATGTTAACATTAATTATTCCCTTAATGTTTCCCTTAAACTGTTAGCACTATTCCACCTAATCGTTTAATCTATTCATTTATTTCTGGGTGAAATAAGATCTTTGCTTTAGCAGCAGAGCTTAAACAGTTGTGTGACAGAGATGTTACGGATCATTGGCTGAGTGTTAGAAGGGTAGGACCAGTTGACCTTTTTGGGGAAATGGCAGTAGGGAGTTATGCTGGAGTTGGAGTGACTGCATAATCCTATGTTGCATCTCTGATGTGCCTCTGTTCTTGTTTTGAGTCCCAAAAGGGACTGCATTTTAACCTGGGTCTCGTTAATCACCAAATGCATTTTTTTTGTACTAAGCAATGTAGGTAGCACTATATCAAAGGTGAATGTAATATCATTTCTGGATGCATGAAATCAAGATTAGCTGATCTTTTCCCTTCATATAGTTTTGCAGCTCTGAGGTATGTTCTGTTGGTAGGGCTTCACAACCTTGCCTTGTAATGATGCTGACCTTATGCATTCTGTAGTAATTTTGCTTATAAAAGGAGTTAAACATTTAGAAACACTGTTAGAGCAAATAAAGAATATGTAGTTGTAAAGGGAGGTAAAACTTTGTAAGGTATCTATACTACAGATTTATGATAACCTGGAGTTTGATGTTAGAAATAATTGCGAATGCTCAAATACATTCACAGGTAATTTATAGTGCTTTGTACATAATAAAAATGAAGTCGAATCTGAGAAGGTGTTTAAGTTTTTATGAGACAAAATTTAACAATGTTACAGAAAAGTTTCCTTTACTCCAGGTTCAAGGTTGTGGTTAAAATAGACAACGTAGAATATGGCAGCGGCAGTGCTAAATCTAAGAAGGAAGCAAAAGAGTTAGCAGCAAAAAAGACATGGGAAATGATTGAACAACAGGTGAGTAAACTGTATGATGTATGTATTTCTTTTGCTCGTAAAGGTTAAAGATGATTCTCTAAAAGTAGCAGATAAAAATAGCAATGCTTAATTTGGAAGAGATTCTGATTACTTAGATACATTGTCTTTGTACATTGTATATGTACATGTACATTTGTACAGTTACATCGAAAGTCTACATACATCTCATTTTTCACAGACAACTGCTGTGCAGTAAACAATGGAAACATTTGCTGTTAATAATTGTTACTCTTTTCTTATTTTTTTAATAGATCCTAACTTCCACTTCTGCAAATGTGTCTATATAATCCTGCTCACTGTGAGAGGGCATGTTTTTCACCAGGCTAGGTGGACATTAGGCAGATGCCTTTCTTATGCAGTTCTTTGAATGTTCCGTGCTGCTATCATCTTCCACTTAGGACCTTGTAATCTTCCCTTCTCTAGTCTTAGATGGGTGGTTTTTTGTACTAAGGATTTTTTAGATGATTTTGTTAACCATTCTCTTTTTTTTTTTTTTTCCTTGTATTTTAGACCATGAATAGAGCAAGCTTCTTGACAGAGTGTAGCATCAGTTTCCTCCTTTACTGCTAATTACTAGAAAATATTTGAGCATTTTTTCTAGGAGTATTAAGTACCTTCTTACTGTTATCCATTATTACTTACATAAACTGGGTCCAGAGTAAATAAGTATCATGGATTACATGAGCTTGTACTAGCGAGAAGGGTGATCAAACTAAGCTTTTTTTTTTTTTTTTGTGGGAAAAATGATGATGTCATACATAAACTATGTGAAAAATTAAAACTATAATATGGCGTCAGTCTTATTTCTTCCACAGAATCATAAAATAGCCTGAGTTGGAAGGGACTCAAAAGGATTGAGTCCAACTACTGGTTCCACACAGGGCCATCTAAAAATCAAACCATGTGTCTGAGAGCATTATTCAAATGCTTCTTGAACTCCATTAGGCTCGGTGCTGACTGCTGCCCTGGGGAGCCTGTCCCAGTGCCCAACCACCCTCTTGGTGGAGAACCTTTCCCTAAAATCCAGCCTGACCCACCCCTGTCCCAGCTCCATGCTGTTCCCTCAGGTCCTGTCGTTGTTCCCAGAGAGCAGAGCTCAGCACCTGCCCCTCCGCTCCCCTCGTGAGGGAGCTGCAGGCTATTGTGAGGTCTACCCTCAGTCTCTTCTCTAGACTGAACAAACCAAGTGACCTCAGCTGCTCCTCATATGTCTTGCCATCTAGACCCTTCACCATCGTTGTTGCCCTCCTTTGGATACTCTGTAATAGTTTTATGTCCTTCTTACATTGTGGTGCACAAAACTGCACACACTACTTGAGGTGAGGCAGCACCAGCACAGAGCAGAGTGGGACAATCCCTTCCCTCAAGCAGTTGGCAGTGCCATGCCTGATGCGCCCCAGCAAGCAGTTGGTCCTTTCAGTTGCCAGGGCACGCTGTTCACTCATATTCATTTTGCCATTGACTAAAACCCCCAGATCTCTTCTGGGGAGCTGTCCAGCCCCTTGTCCCCCAGTCTGCACATATATACAAGATTGCTCCTACCCAGGTGCAGAATCCAGCACTTGCTCTTGTTAAATTTCATGTGGTTGGTGATTGCCTTGCCCTGTAATTTGTCAAGATATCTCTCCAAGGGCTCTCTACCTCCAAGGGAGTCAGCAGCTCCTCCTAATTTACTATCATCTGTAAACTTACTATGCATTTGAGTCCTGTGTCGTTTATATACGGGTCCTACCTTTTATGTAAGGTATGAACACATTTATAGGTAGACAGATGCTGGATACATTTTCAGGTGCATTTTAAACTAATTATAGTGAAAATATTCAGGATATCTTAGCTGCTGTTGTTTTTCTTTTTCATGTAGAGAACTGGACAAAATTCTGCCATTAAATCCTCAAGGTATGTGTTTAGTTCTAGATTGCTATCTTCCATAAAACTACACTGCATACCACTTGACTGTTTTTTATATCTAATGAAGAAATGTCACCATTGTGTGGTACATTTCTTTTTTTCTTGTCGTGTATTAGAAAAACAGCTTCTTATAAATTTTGCTTTTATCCCTGCTAAAGAAAATTGGCAGCTAATTCCAGTCATGCAAGAAACAAAGAAGAAGAAAAAAAGATGTCAGATTTATGCAAAAGCTTGCCAAATATTTACAAAGATACTAGGGAGGAAAATGAATACACTGTGGATGAAAGGTAAGAAGGATTTTTTTAATAAGACCTGTATAGAAGGTACAGTATGTAGTGGTCTAGATTTGTTTGTATTTTTACAACAGAATGTGAGATAATATTGATGTAAAAATAACCTTAAAAGAAAGTTGATATTTGAGATTAGGTTTCTGGAAATTTCACACATGCTGTAGCAACTGACTTGCAATGATGTTTAATACTTAACAACCAAAAGACATTTGTGTAAAGATGAGAGGGTAGTTATCCTACAGGCTTTCAAACAAAATTTAAACTGAAATACAACTGGTAATATTGTATTCTACTGGCATAATGAAATGTTATCCATAACCTTAATAACTAGAAAATTATCAGATATGTTGGTTTATGGCAGCCTTTCATCAGTATCCTTCCTGATTCATCAAATTGCCTCCTTCTGACTTGGCGTTTTTTATAATAAAGTATCTATTATCTGAAATAATTGGCAAAAGAACATCTTTGTTTTACACATCAAAGTATGGGGAAAATACTTAATCCAAAAATTTACCATTAAATCAGCAATGAAGATTAGTTTGACTTGCCATCTATCTAGAATAAAACATAACATGTAAAAAATAGGGAGATTTTGTAAACCTGTCATTCCTTTGCCACAGAATGGTTGAGGTTGGAAGGGACCTTTGGAGGTCAGCTTCTGCAATTCTTCTGCTCAGGCATGGTGACCTAGAGCAGGTTGCCCAGGACAATGTCCAGACTGGTTTTGAATACACTCAAGGATGGAGATTCACCTCTGCAGGCACCCTGTTCCAGTAATGAGTTACCATCAGGGGAAAAAAGTGTTCCCCAATGTTTAGATGACACCTCCTGTGTTTCAGTGTTTGCCCATTGCCTCTTGTCCTGGCCCTGGGCACCACTGAAAAAAACTTGGTTCCATCTTCTTTGTACCCTCCCTTCAGGGATTTGTATACACTGATAAAGTTTGCTGTGGGCCTGCTCTTCTCAAGGCTGAACAGGCCCAGCTGTCTCAGTCTTTCCCATAGGAGAGATGTTCCAGTCCATTAGCCAGCTTTGTGGCCGTTTGATGGACTCACTCTAGCATGTCTGTCTCTCTTGGACTGGGCAGCCTGGACTTAAACACAGCACTCCAGATGTGGCCTCACCGGTGATGAGGATCCCCTCCCTTCACTGGCTGGCAGCTTACCACCTACTACAGGCAAGGATACTGTTGGCCACCTTTGCCAGAAGGGCACATTGCTGGCTCATGGTCAACTTTGTGTCCACTGGGACCCCTATATTTTTTTTCCCTTTATCAAAAGCATTTATCAAAAAGAAAATATTTGATAATTTTTTTGGTTAAATGTTGCAGGATCTTATTGTTTGTACTGTTCTAAATAACTTAAACAGTTTTGTGAAAGCATATTTAACTGGAACATTCTGAGGTTGGTTGAAAAGTGTGTTGTGAAGAAAGAGTTATGAACTGTTTAACCTTAAATGCTGAAGAAAATTAAAGTGATTGTGTGTACGTGTGTCACAAGTAGCATATTTTTGTAGGAGCTTAACATTGTTTTAAACATGGTATGCATTTTGTATGTTCAAGGTCCAAGTTAAAACAGAAGTGGGACAGGGGAAGAGAAAAGGAAAAGTAAGAAAACTTGTGGTTCAAAATAAAGATATTTTAATAGGAGAAGTGGAAGAGAGAGAGAAAACAAAACTGGTGCAAAGAGACTCATGACCTCCCATTGGTAGTCCAACCAGTTGCCAAGCTGGTTGCCAACCAGTTGCCAAGCAAAAGATACCTAACCCTCTTAAATCCCCTACTCTCAGCTTTATTCCTGAGTGTGGGGTTATGTGGCTAGGAAGAGCTCCTTGGTTGGTTTGGGTCATCTGCCTGGTTGTGTCCCTTCCCTAATCTCTTGCACACCCCTAGTCGATACATTTGTGGCAGGGTAGGGTGAGAAACAGAGAAGATCTGGATGCTGTGCAAGCACTGTTCAGCAACAGCTAAAATTAGTGTTATCAGCACTGTTTTCATCACAAATCAAAACCACAGCACCGTGTGAGTGGCTATGAAGAAAGATAACTGCGATAACTGCATCACAGTCAGGCCCTGTACAAATAAAGAAAATTTGCTCTTATTCTGTTGCTATATGGAAAAGAAAAAAAAAAAAAAGGAACTGCAGTGGAACTTTGTTTTACAAATACTTAAAATAAACAGACAGACAGCAAACATGTTATGAGATTGTGGTTGGTGAAATGTTTGTGAAAATGACACTTTTCTATGCTCACAATTAATATGTAGGAGTGATTTCCTTCTGGTTTATCCTGCCTGGTACAGAATAAGACTTGAATTCAGAATCTGGATGAGTTTCATATCCATAGGTATAGGCACTCAGAGGAAGTACTACATTTCCCATTCTGTATAAATTTTGAAATATTTACCAAAAGTAGGGTTTGGAACTCATTTTTTTACATTTCAGATGAGAGCTGCAATGATGTGTTATAGGGCTGCTATCCCTTGTGTTTTTTGTTTTGTTTTGTTTTGTTTTTTTCAAGATTATGATTTAGACCTGTGTATGTGTATATTGAGTGAGCCCTGTAGAATGGTATTTTGGCAGATATTATTAAGCCCTTTGGGATCATTTCTGTATCTTGTAAATGTAATGCTAAGTACACTCCAGTTGGATATATATTACTTTTCTTTTTAGATTTCTTAAAGACTATAAAAATATAGAGCCAATTGGTGAAGGTGGTTTTGGGAATGTTTTCAAAGCAACAGCAAAGACTGACGAGATGATCTATGCAATCAAGCGAGTTGAGCTTAAGGAGTAAGTACCGTATATTGACTTTTTTTTTTTTTTTTTTTTAGGACATCCTTAATCAAGTTTTTCATAGTTGGTTTTTTTTTTTTTTTGTGTGTGTGTTTTTTTTGATGGCCCTTTGGGGAACCAAGAGTTGGACACAGTGGTCCTTGTGGGTCCCTTCCAATTCAGACATTCTATTATTCCATGATTGTCTTTTTTAATAATCCTTGGAGCATTTAAGGAATTTTCATTATTAACTGTCTTTCTGGTAGACTTTTCTTTAGTTCGGTGTAAAGCTGAAAACTGCATGCAAGTCTTCATTTTTGCAATCTCTCAAATAACTTGGCATACAGCTGTAAGAAAGCGGATTCATTACGTTCAACTATCCCTAAGTACACTTGTACAGAATTTTTATGATTTCTGGTTGTTAATATTGTAGAATGTGTTTCAAGAAAATTTGCTGATTAATAAAACCATTGGAAGCAGCAATGTTATTTTTGACAGGGTACCTTACCTGAAAATTTACTTATCCATAATATATAATGACTGTAATTAGGGCAAATGGAGAAAAATGAAAGTAATACATTTTGTGGTTTGTAATTGGAAAATACGTATAATTTATATCTAAATAATATAACTATGTAATGCGAAGAGTGAACCATGTTGCCACGTTACTTGTCCTTTATAATAATCTCCACACAGAATAATGATCTTAAATTTTTTAAGTAATTGTTTTCATCTAGAGTATTCAAGAGCACTGTCAGAGTACTTAATCAGCAGCTGAAGAACTTGCATTTCTTTTATGTAATCTATTCAGAAAAATAAAGTTGTTCTCTATGAAATCATAACTTAGGTTTGGAAATAGTTGTCCTTTACATTGTGTAACTGCCCTTCAAATCCTGTATTCTTCACAGATGTGTATTATTTTCAGTTTTATTTTACAGTATTTGAAGAATCAATACAACCTTTTTTAATAAAAAGTGCTAGTTTTCACTGTGTAATTTAACAAGAAGTGTAGGCCAATTACAGCAATAGTTCTTCATGAGTATTTGCACACTTTTGTATATGTAGACAAACCTTTTTCAGCATTGTTGAGTGGGGCTTTGATTTCTAAAGGAAAAAAAAAGTTAATATTTTTAGAAGGAAAACGTTTATTTTTCAGAATCAGTGCAAAACTGGCAGTATACTGCTACTTGGTATTGTGTCTTTTATTTAACTCAGTATTTAATTTTTGTAGGGAAATATCATTTGGTTTGAAATATCACTTGTTTTGTTTGAGATTTTTTTTTTCTTCTCCAAACAGGAAGGTGAAGCGTGAAGTACAAGGACTTGCAAGACTTCGATATAAATACGTAGTGCAGTATTATTGTAGCTGGGAAGGGCTTGACTATATGACTTATACACGCTCAAGGTAACTGCAAAACAGTAGTTTGCACTCACAAACATGTTTGCCGTAGTGAATTTTGTGTTGGTAAAAGAAATGCTGATCACTTTTTATACACCATTACACAAATCCAAAAACATGTGTGTAGTTACATAATTATTGTTAGGGAAAAAAAAACAAACAACAAAACACAGTACTCCTGAGCAGCAGGTGGTTTATAATTAAATACATTCTTGGTGAATATTAAACATTTAGTAATTTTACCTGTCTTCTGTCTCTTAATAAACAGAACTTGCTGTATCGATAGAAGAGTGTAAGAATGCAGAACTCAAAATATGGGGCTAGGATTAGCATAAATTAAAAACTGGCAGCCAAATTCCTGATTGGTAGATTGGTATCCCTCTCATTTTTTATTTATTTATTTATTTATTTTAAAGTAGTGGTCATCCAGTAACTCTTGTAGATTTAATTATTTCTCTTAATTAAAATTTAAACTATGGTGTCTGATAGAGTTTTTATTGTGAACACAGAGCTGTTGAGAGTAGAAATGCAGAATGAAATGTTCTGTTGGAGGTAGCATTCCAGCAGTAAGAGTTCTGGCAAGACAGTGGTAAGAATTTTACTGATAAGTTAGGTTATTAAATTTTCAAAGGTTTTATGGTAAGCATTTTTCGTAGCTAAATTCTCACTTTTCAGGTAGGTTACCTAACTTACCTACAGCCGTAAAATATTAATGGATTCAAAATTATGGTTGGCACAATGTCTATAAAGTGTGAATTAAATAGGCAAAAAAAAAAAAATAGTCTCAATAAACCCATCAGAACCCATCGTAAAAACCATTAGTATGTTGGAGTCTCAATATCACTTACACATTTTATATTGAACAGCTACTTGCTATAACAGAGAAAAAAAGACTTCGAGGCTGAAGTCTCAGAGTGGAAGGCCACCTAGTGGCCTGACCTCAAGGCTGTAGAGAGTCCCGAGCCACTTTAATTAATGCTTGTTCTTTCAGTGTGTCAGAATGCTTTATTCTAAGGCACTGAGATCACACAATGCAAATCAGAAAAAGAAGTGGTGCTTCCTCCTCTGCATATTGTCCTTTCTGGTGCTTCCTCCTCTGCATATTGTCCTTTCCCTCCCCATCTCCAGCCTTAGTCTATTTTGTGGGCTGATGGTGAGGGAACTCAGTGAATATATTTCATTTAGATTTCCGTCTTTCAGAATGATTCTCTGATTCACAGACTTACCATGTAATCAGTCATAGAATGGCTTGGGTTGGAAGGGAACCTTAAAGATCATCTAGTCCAACTGCCCTGCCATGGGCAGGGACATCTTTCACTAGATCAGATTGCTCAGAGCCCTGTCCAGCTCGGCTTTGAACACTTCCTGTGCACATAAAAGATGTCACCACACTTCCTTCTTTAAGGGACAAAGGTTAAAAAAATGTGATCATTCTAGGTAGGGGAGGAAGGCTAATCCTGTTGAGCACTATAGGGAATACCTGCCAGAGTTTTGCAGTAATTCCTAGAGGGCAAGATGGGACCCAAGTACTGTTCTATTTCTTGCTCAACAGGACATGCCTTTATATATGAGAAGAATTTAGGCAATCAGAAAACTTTCAGTGTGAACAAGGAGGTAAACAAAATGTTAGGAATCTTTCAGAGGTATGTAGCAACTGAACAGGGATTGTTTGGTTGGATTGTTTTTTATTTAGATCTAGTACCTAGCGGTGTAAGGTCTTTAAAATCAAGAAGCTTTCAGACTTTCTTTTGAGTAACTCCAAAAAGAATAACAATTTTACAAATATATCTATATCTATTTATTGTTTATTTTTTTGTTAGAGAAGAGGGACCTGAGAATCATTAATGCTTTGGAAGGAATTTGGAGGCTTTGGAAGAATTGTATCTTGCCAGTTTTAATAGTGTATAACTTTCTTTTGCAGGCAGAAGTCAGAAACAAAAATTCCTTGCCTTTTCATCCAAATAGAATTCTGTGAACAAGGAACACTGAAAAATTGGATTGAAAATAATAGACTAAAACAAAAGTATAATGAGATGGCACTCAAAAAATTTTTACAAATACTGAAAGGAGTGAACTATATTCATTCCAAAGGGTTAATTCATCGAGATCTCAAGGTAAGCAGAAGAGGTATTTTTTAATATTTTTATTGTAATAATTTTAGTTAAAAGTAGTACTTGTTGGAAGTTCAGAAAATGTTAATTGTTTTAGTACTTATTTAGTTATGTACCCTAGCAGTGTTCCTCTTCTGATGTTACAGTGATCTTTTTTTCCAGCAACTGGCTGGACTTCATTCTAAAATCAGGAGGTGAACTGAAGGAGTTCAGAGTAGAGTACTTAAAAAACAAAATACACCCCCCCCCCCCCAAAAAAAAAAAAAAAAAAAAAAAAAGACCAAGCAATCAACAGGCATTTGCAGTGTGTTAAGTTTCCTGGCATCTTGGAAAAAGGACTTCTTTGTCCTTTTTCCAAGAAAAAGGACAAAGAAAAAAATCTTCCTTGGTAATAAAACAAGTAAAAGAAAGAAGGTGAAAGGCTGAGTCTAGGAAGTTTGTTCTTATTATATTGCAAGGGGAAAGTTTATCCTAGAACATATTGCATTTGGTAATGATTCTAGTTGTTCTCGTATCATGTATGCATACAAATATTTACATGTTACTTTTCTGGATATATTTTCAGTCTCCACAAGTGCACGACCATACAATATTTATATTAAAATAAAATATTTTTAAAGAACAATGTTACAAGCCTTCAATGTTTATATGTGAGTTACAACATTACTTATAATTTTAAAACTTACTTTGTGAGCAAGTCGTTAATGTGGTGGCTTTCCTAAAAACTGAAGATGGCTGCGGTGAGTCACACTAAATGTAGATTGAGGATGTTGTCCTTCTCATATAGTGGTTATGCCCAAATACCTAGAGAGTATTAGAGCTGAGAGATGGGCAGAAACATTCATGTCTCTTAGAGCTCTTCTGAGGCCTATAGCTATTGCTATAACCACAAATATACATTCCTTTGTTTAAAAGATATCTGGGAAAAAAAGTGGTATGATAAATGCTTTCTCTCGCTACATGTTAATTCTTACCTCTTCCCATGCTTCAGGTTTTTTCTTTCTCCTCGGTCCCACTTTCTGTTCTCAGCTCAATCTCCTACTTTTCTGTGTTCCTATGAATCTGCTGCCCCAGTCTCTCATCCTTGGAAACTAGTTGTAATCTTCTGCCTAGTCCTATTGCTAACTTCTCTGCCTGCATTTTAATTTAGGAACTTTTTTGATCTGTCAGCTTGGCTGCTTGGCCACCTGAGATCTCCAGGTCACAGTATCACAGCTGCAGAATAGGTTCATGCTATGAGATGAATGTCTGTGCCTGGCATGAGTGGAGTCTTCAGATAGGGTAGTAGTAAGGCACTACCATTGTTAAATGTGTGTGGACTTGGTTGTTCTTGAACAAAAGAACTGTGCTGGGCATTCTTGACACAAAGATTGCTTCCTGTGAAACCTTAAGACTTTCCTGGCCTTACAGTCCACTTGATCTTCTTTGGGTTAGAGACAGGATGAGGCTGTTTGTTTTTTGTTTTAACAGCATTCAGAACTATAGTTTATTCTTTGGAATAACAGATGGCTTGGAAATCTTCATCCAAACTTACACAATTTTATTTTGGTTGCTGATGACTTTGTCAAATTTAAAAACGCTAAGTACAATGAAAACTGTGAGATGCCTGTAGCAAGCCCCAACTCTGCAGTCAACTTCGTACAGATACTCCTACTTTGCCTCGGAGAAACTATACTTTGAGTGGAATTCCATGTAAGCCTAAATGCTTTGCACAAGTGCATCAAATCCCAGGACTAAAAAGCATTTTTGGATATTAAATGATATATACACAGTGTATTTGAAGAATTTTAAAGTATGATATATTCATCACAAGTAGTTAAAATAAAGTTAGTTATTGAGGTGTATGCTATTTTAAATTTAGTTTGTGTATTTCAAAGCAAAGTTATTTGAACTTTCTTCTGTTTCCCACCCCCAATCTACTTCTCAATAATTTCTGTGAACAATTACAAAATTTTAAGGGGAGCACTCCTGTGTCTGATTATACTTGATGGTAAACCTTGGTGATACAGTAATTTACTGATTTATTTTTTTTTTCTATATATGTATGTATATAGCCCCAGAATATATTCATATCGCATGATGGAAAAATAAAAATAGGTGATTTTGGCCTTGTGACCTCTATGGCATGTGAATCTCTGACTGAGAACCAAGGAACAAAATTATACATGGCACCAGAGCAGGTAATCATCTTGCTATATTACTGTCTCTGTTTGCATTTACATTATTTGCATGCCTTTTGAAGTACAAATTCAAGGGTTGTGTTTAACCCTTACCTCAGTATTAAACCAAGTTGCTTAATGTTCCCTGATATGACTGTATATGAGGGTAACCTTATTCTGAAGAAAGCAGTTTGCAAGTGTGGTGGTTTTATTTAATCGTCCTAACCTACAAGGTCTGACACTGGTGTAAAATGCTTTTGTGTAACAGTTTGCCAGCCATGTAGTTGAATTTAGGACCTCTGTTAACTGTGGCATTTGAGTCCCTCTGTTTCATTACTTGTAACAAAGAGACATTGGCATGCCTTATCTATATAGTTTTGTGGAAGTCATAATTTCAGTGTGCTTACCATGACATCACAGCCACTATTTAACAAGGTCATAGCAGAAAGGGTTAAAAATTTTAATGGGCGGATCCAGTAATGCCAGTCCTGGAGTTTTCAGGTGACAGTTTTTACTGATTTCAAATTTTCCCTTAAGAAGTCATATCCAGTTGTATTTGACACCTACATTTTGTTGTGATTTTTGTAGTTCTGTGACAACTATGGAAAGGAAGTAGACATTTATGCACTGGGATTAATTTGTTTTGAAATTCTTTCGGCATTGGTCAGTCATCATGAGAAAAACGTGGTATGTAATCTAAATAAAAAACCTCTCACATTATATCATGTATCGTTATTTTGCCTTACTGCAGGTATCTTGGGCTGATCACAGGTCAGAAGGAATCTGTACATCTAGAGTACCGTCTCTATTCATATTTTCCCCTTGATTCATGTCTGTACAGCTCATAAATCCTTCATGCTTTAAAATACAGTTAAAATACAGTTAAAATGTAGAAACTAATGAAACATCAGTGGGTATTTTACTCATGCCCTACTGATACACAGATTTAAGCCTTACTAAGCTTAGATATGTACATGCATCTATAGGAAAATTAATCAAAACTTTAATCAAAATTAATCAAAAATTTAAAAAATACCTACCAAAAAGATTTCAAATTTCTGAGTATTATAAAGTAATATTTTTCTAATTTTAGAAAATAAGAATTGGGAGAGTTTAGTGTCTGCCACGCTCTCTTCTTCACTACAGCAAGGAACAAGAACAAAGTTTCCATAGAGTTAAAACTTTTGTAGTTTTTCAAAATGAAAATAAAAGTGATTTAGAATATATGGCTTTAATTGAAAAAATGGTACTTCAAAAAGATACCAGTGTCATTTAAACTTCACTTTAAGAGGTTCTTTTTTGTGTCTTTTGTCCATTTCTTTCCACAGTGATAGTATAACAGTTTGTAGGACAGGGATGTAGATGATGTGTATTGTTTCTGAAGTCATTGTTTTGTAAGATCTATGTATATGGTTGAACACTGTTAGCTTGGCTTTTTGCCAACAAAACCAAACCATATCAAAGTGTGTTTGGTCCACAGATTTGACTTGGCTCCAATTGCCTACCTTGGAGTATTTCTAAAGACTAAAGGACTTCTTTCTGTTCACAGCCAACTGTGCAAACATGCCCACAGTCCCATGGTGTTCAAAGTTTAAAAGGCAAAACCAATTGAAAATCATTACGTGGAAAAAAATAGCTGTTACCCAGAACCAGTTTCTGAAAGCATGTACTTAGAAATGCTCACTGTTAGTTGCTTTGAACTCCACCTAGCACTTTCTGCAGTGACATAGAAATAATTTTGTAGCACTGAACAAGGTAAAAGGGAGGAAGCACACCTGCTTGGCTCAGAAATAACATCTACATGTTGTCAGAACAAGAAATTAAGCCTTCTCACAATGTGTGTTTGTTTTTTTTTTAATCGCTGTTATTTGAGGACAGAAGGATAATGGTTATTAAGTAGAGAGGTTTGCCGAAACAAACACATCATTATATTTCATGAAGCTTTTAATCTTAAAGAGGGACAACAGTTTACAAAAAAGACCATAAAAAAAAAACAAAGCTCAACTAAATGAGAATTTTTCAAACTTCTATAGTTTTTTGCAGCCTTACCTTTTTTGTAGATTTGTATTCTCCTGATTACTTCTGTAAATTATTACAGATTGTGAAATGAGTTTCACAGGTTGTGAAATGAGATGCAAAATATAATGAATAAAAGCATACTGAAATTGTTTATCTCATATGAATTTCAGGTGTGGCACAATGTAAGAGAAGGTAAATTTCCAGAGGACTTCACCAAGCAATTTAAAACACAGGTATAATATTAAAATACAGTGTTTCACTTAATTTCTTTATTTGCTCATTAAAAAAAACTCCTCAATTTTAAATTCTTTTTGCAGGCATCCATAATCAGAAGGATGCTTTCAAAGGACGCATCAAAAAGGCCCTGTGCATTTGAAATATTTGAGCATTTGAAGCGTGCTGCTGCAGACAACTCACTTAAAGCTCAGTAATCAGCATGTTAAAAGTCTTCCAGATCATGCTTAAATCCAGTTTGAATCAAACTTATGAAATTCCATAAATCTATCAGAAGCAAGAGCAAGACATGGGATACGTCTTTTCCATGGTGTTCCGCCTTCCTGCCATTGAGGAGCTTGCTGGCCAAAATGGTCACATCACCGTTCACTCCCAATGGCTGCAGATCAGAACAGCAAACATCTGCAAACAATCGCTTACAATTTTTACGTGGAAACACAGGTTAGGTATGAGCTGAACTATATTACACAATAAGCACAGGAACCTACTCCTTGTCTCCCGTAAGACTGTGTTGATGTGATAACTGGCCTGTGGCAACTCTCCACGTGTGTGCTCTTAACACGTGCTCAATCCGTTATCAGCTGAAGTGGATGAAGCTCTGTCTTGTGGCATGTGAACCAAACCTTTCTTATTTTTAATAGCAAACTTTATATTATTTACTAGACTCCCCCCCCGCCTTTAGACCAGAGGAGGTAATGTGCTGAATTGGAAAGATTGATTTTGGTAGGAAGAATACTAGAAAGAGGTGGGGGTTATTCTTTACTGAATTTCAGGTCTTTAAAATGAATTTTCTTCTCACAATATCTCTATCAGAACACCTAGCACCTTTAATGGGCTAAAATGTAAATACTCTTTTAAAGTAGGTGTTCCTTGAGAATGTAAATGTTTTAAATGTCAAGCACCTAGCTTCTAGGAAATCCAGTTGAAAGAGATTTATCCTAAACTTTTGAAACCCTCGGGATTTTTTTTGTTTTCTGAAACAAAGTTGGGGTACTCAGTCTCCAGCATTTTCTCAGAAGTAACCATTTTAAATACTTTGTCAAAAGCACTTTAAACATCCTCTCCCCCACACTGCTGGGTTTTAATCATTTATTGTAGTACTGAGGCATGTGCAACTGATAACAGGTGTCCTGAACACCTCTAGTGGACTTACCATCAGTTCTGCAAAAGGAAACAACAGATTGCCTGTTACTATTTGGTTACACACTTCAAAGACTACAGCTTTGGTAGAATAGGAAGAATTGTGCAGGGGAGTAAAGATGGGCAAATTAGCCCTTCTGATTCTCATTTTTGAATTGCTTGAAAAGACACTGCTCACTCCTGTGGTACCACATAAAGGCATATGCGCAGAGATTCTAAGCAGGAAAATAGGAATGATGTGATGATGTGTAGTACTGATAAATTATAATAGGATTTTTCTGAAATGTTAAACAGGTTAAAGGTGTGTTTGGTTAAAAAGAATAATATAAAAGAATACGTAGTAATTTTTATACTCTTATGGAAATCTATTGTTGATCCCCTATAAGCGGTGCTAAATAACGGTCTGATTTTATGTCCTTTTCTAAGAACTGTTTTTTTTTCCCCTTATAATGAATGTTATTGTTCATAAATAAAGCATTCAATTGTTTTGGACTAATTCATATTTTTTTGCAGTACTCAAGGTCTAGGAGAAATTATATCCCAACAGCCAAAAATACTACTACTAGTTCCACTTCCCTTTCACCCATAAACCTACCCTTACAATGTGAAAATTAACGTGACAAGTTTCAGCTGAAACCTTTGTAGTTCTTGCACAGAGCACTTGTACCACCACTACTCACCATTACTCTGACCTTACCGCAACTTTTCGGTATTTAAAGAGGGCTTATAAAGTAGTTGGACAAGAAAAAAAGTCCAACATTTTTTCTTAATCAAATGAAGAAGAAAAAAGGGGAATGGTTTTAAACTAAAAGAGGGGAGATTTAGATTAGAGGTTTAGGAGGAAGTTGTTCACTCAGAGGGTGGTGAGACACTGGCACAGGTTGCCCAGAGAGGTTGTGGATGCCCTATCCCTGGAGGTGTTGAAAGCCAGGTTCGATGGGGCCCTGGGCAACCTGATCTAGTGGGTGGCATCCCTGCCCATGGCGTGGGGGTTGGAATGAGACCTTTAAGGTGCCTTTCAACCTGAGTCCTTCAATGATTCCTTTCTTACTGTAAAGTATTGTTTAGCTTGTCACAGTAGTTTTTAATAGATCTTTATTTTTTTGCAGTATTTGTATACTTTAGTAGTAACTTTCTACTGGAGGATGTTTACAGAAGCAGTTGTCATTCCCTAAGGATAAAAAGTCTATTAAGATTATTTATAAATATATATTTAAATTGAACGTGTCCCATGATCTGGTGAATATGCACCTTTTACATATAACTGAATATTAAATGCCACTGTAACATTTCAAAAGCTCCCTCCTCCATGAGCTCTGAGATACTAAGGAAAAAAAACTCTGACCTGTGGTCATCCAATAAGGATGACCCCCACACACACCTGTTTAACATCCTGTATAACAGAATAACAAGTCATATACAACTTGTTACTTGTATAATATATGTTACTTACATAACCTGTTACTTGTATAACAAGTAACAAGACTTATTCAAACTTGATCTTTTAAAATCAGAGCATAATCGAAGACTGTGGAATTCTTACCTGCCTTCATGTTACAGTAATTCACAATAATGCATCTTTAATTCCTAATAAGTTATGCAACAAGCAGAAGAAACATAGAATGCTTCAAAAATTGCAGTATAACCTTTCAACTTTATGATTCTTCTGTGTACAGTGGTATGAAATTGGGCACAACAATGAACCTTTTTTAAAAAAAAATTGAACCTTTAAAAAAATATGTTGTCAGAGTATAGCAACTATACATACTTATCTAGAACTCCTTTCTTTAGAAAGGCTTTAGTCATGATCTGCAGCACTGTCTCCAGGGCAATTTGAAGACAAATCTTCAGAATCTATGGAATAAGCAGAGAAAAAGTGAGCAGTTAATTCCACTGAAAGAAAATGAAAAAAAGTTGCTAGAATTATTTGAAGAAACTGTACAAAACAGGTTAAATAGAATTCAAGGTTTGCAAGTTATTAATTCTAAACTGTGTTTTAAAACACTGAACATAAATAACAACAACATAATAAATAATAAAACACCTGCAAGCTTTTTTTTTTGATGCTTTTTTTGATACTTTTAATATCTGAATTTTGTTTTCTCAAAACAAAATGAATATTAATACCAATTCAAATTAAGTGCCAGTATGTACTTTTTGTGCATGTAAACACCTTACAGTTGGCTTACAATGAAAACCCACCAAGCTTTTTGCAAAACAGTATCTTGGAAGGAAAATCCCTTATGCATATTTAAAAGACTTTAGTAAGAGGAACAAGAAGTATATATTCTGACATAAGTATTAATGTTTCTCCCAGAAAACTTTGTACCCTGGATGAGGGGTAAGCACGCAGCTATCAGACTACATCATGACAGCTTCTTATAAGCCAGGTTGCAGAACAGAAGACAAAGCCATTCAGATGGCACGTGTGGGCTGTTGAGAGCTCTTTTAGGAAAGTGTCTCTGGTAATGCTGAAGCTACCTAGTATCAACCATCTGCATTATAGTAAAGGGAAAATGTCTGATGAAATAAGGTTAGACCCAATATCAAAAAGCTGATAGCCTTTGATTCTGGACCTCAGAAAAGGAGAATTGACTATGAAGAACAGAAGCATAGGCATAGTTTGTATAGCACTATCCTTGACGAAAGCATGCAACAGGGTAAAGAGTGAATATATATTGCATTACTCAAGTCTACCTGCGTAAGTGAAATAAAACACACATGTGGCAAGTTTACTCTCACCTTCGTAGGTGGTTCCACACCAAATGCAATAAAAGTGTTCTTCTCTTAAATATGCAGTCAGGAGTTGTAGCTTTTCTGATACCTATAGGTATGGACAAGGATGCAATGAGTAGGGGCTTACATGATGTAAAATGGTTTGAGCTGCTGGTTTTGCTAAAACAGATTGTTTAACCTTTTTCTTTAGAAAAGCTGTTGTAACTCAGTAAGGCGTGAAGTTACCCAAATTGTTGTGCCTACAGCAAAGGAATCCAGGATCTCTGGAAAGTTAATGGCTGCTGTTTGCTCATTATTCTTTCCAGCTACAAAACCTGCACTGAAGATACAGCCGAAGTATTACCTAGCTACCTTATATCAACTGTATGATACTTTCTGATGGAATTTTTCACACTTCATCTCTGCAAATCAAATATGTTAAGCTAACAACAGTGGTGTAATCTAGTTCTCAGAAAACATTAAAGACATTAAAAAACATTTCTCTAAAGATTAGCTTCAAAAGAGATAAGCAATAAAACATAAAACATTAAAACTGATTTATCATATAATTGTTTTAAAAATGACGGCTTTAAGATGCCAAAGAGATTTACTACATTTTTACTACATAAAATTTACTACAGCTTTGAAAATGACGAATACATTCTTTAAGGGAACATTAAAGGGAACACAATTTCATTGTGAATCAAGCCATGCATTTAGCTGTGAAGCTTACACTTAAGTCTGAGCTTGTGCATTCATCATCCTTGTCTTCTTCATCCTTCTTGTCTTCCTCTTCAGGTTCTAGCCAATACCAAGTCTCCTTGGGAACATCAATATCCTTAAATAATGAAGGATTTAAATGAAAATTAAATTTAATGTATTAATAATTACTTTGTAGCCTGTATCTCTACACTTTAAACTTCCTTCCAACACAGAGAAATGTGTCTTACTTTCTGCATATCTAATTGCTGGCAGGCTCTCTGGCTTTTTCGAAGGTCTCCTTCCATCTTACGCTCTTCTTGTTTGTTTTTGAACCTTACTCTGTTAAGAAAAAGTAGATAGGTAAAATAAGCAGGAAGACAAACAGTAAAACGTGTTACAGTCAACAGCTTTTCTAAAATAGAAAATCTGCTAAGATTCTAGCTATACCAATCCCTCCAACTGCCAAATGTGGACCAGAGAAGACCACGCTTACCAGAACAATGCTGAAGTTAATAAGTCCCTTCTAACATCATTTTTGGAGGAGCAACATTTATGTTTTTATTTTTTTTGAAATAAACCTTTCAGTTACCTCTTCAAGACAGAGCTTTTGATGATAATTACCCTTTGCGTGTTGTTTTTCCACCAGGTTTCCGTAATACATGAAAAAATGGTTCATGAAACATTTGCAGAGAAGATTTTAATCTTCCCTAGTCTTTCTTTCTCCACATATAAACAAGCAAACAAGGAGAAAAAAAAATATATATTAAAACCCCCAAAGTTTACCCTGAGTTTTAGTTTGTTGCAACCCAAAACCACTGCAGCAATGCTGCTCTGGATTATCCATGAGCTTTATATTGAAAAAGATGACGTGGTTCTTTGACTTAAAAAGTTGCAAGTTATTTGAGAATTAGCATATGTACTGTTCACATTGCTGAATCTTTTATTTTTATAAACATTCATACAGACTTTTAGCAGTACAGTGTTCACCTGCTCCTGCTTGTTTTATCTTTCAGCTCACACCTCCCATTCAAACAACATGCAGAATTAGTAACACTAACAGAATAGCCAAACTTAACATATAAAAAAGAACAGCCTTATAGGCACTTCTTGGGGTATCATTTACGTAATTTTACCTGAATTGATCTGCAGCTTGTTCATTTGCTTGTTTTTTCATATGGAGTTTTTGTCTATAGTTTTCTAGTTTTTCTTCAGCTTTCCGCTTTTTGAATTCCTCATGACCAAGCCCGCTTCTGCCTTTGTAAGTTTAAAACATGAATGTAAGCATCTGAGAAGCTCTGATACCTAACTAAGTAAATTAGGAAGCATCACAAACCTGTTTTTATGTTCAGAGGAATAGGTTCAACAATGCCTTCTCCTGTGAAAAGGAAAAATAGGCCGATTTAAAAAAAACCAGGTCTTTCTCAAACTATGGTTTGCATGGTATATTCAAACAGGCAAGCTGATTTTGCCATTAAATATGTAAATTTTATTGCAATTCTGTTTTCTGGAAATTGAAAAAACTCCTATTGATATACATTTAGTGCACTATAAATAACCTAGCTGAGCTGCAACCTCCTTTATTTTTTTCCTTGTCTGCGGAATTGCTGGGTGCTTTCTTCAGAACACTACCCAACAGAAAGAAAATGATGTCAATTTGATAGGTACAGCATACCTGCGATGAAGATTGCTTTGCTACAGTCTTCTGTGGCATTTTTTTATTTGAGAATTTCACAGCTTGATAAAGATGAAGTACAACAAGAATCTGTCTGGGCCACTTCAGTTGCTGATCATCTGCTAGAGATGCACTGTACTGGCATAATGATTACTGATGTTTTCCTTCACTGATTTTATCTGTCAAGACTTCATGCTAAGTACTGTTTCTTTTCCAAAATACAGCGATAAATTCAAAGAAGGGGCTGACTTTTTTTTTGAGCAGTGAGCTTTCCAAGACCATTAAAACAACTTCTTAGTGCAATTCCTGTAGACATGCACATACTGAAACGCATTTAGCAAGCAGCAAGTACTGCTGCTTCCCTCACATCTCTCAACAGGCATTTTTGTTTTAGAAATTTGCTTTTTTTTTTTTTTTCCTGTCACAACATGACAGTAATGGTAGGGCTCTTAGAGAGGCATTTATTGACACTGTCTATAAGTGAAGCAGCAGCTGCAGTCCATAAAATATAAGGGTACACCTGAAAGCAGCATGCAGGTCTAGACAGTGACAAACTTACCACTTTTGCCAAGGGCCTGGCCACTCTTGTAGCCCATCTTCTGCAGCAGGGCAAAGCCTTTGTTCTCGTTGCCCAACGCACTCTTCAACACCAGGTCACGCCGCTCTTTTTCTTCCTCTTTTACGCTCTTCTGTCGGTTCCTTTCATTGGCTTCTTTTTGCTTTTCTTCCTTCTGAAGAGCCTCTTTCACCCGGCGTACCATAGGCAAGCCTGGCCTCACATCCTGCCTACGAATTAATCCCCCCTGCAAATATTAGCTCATTTTTGATTCTTTTCACACTTATAATCATTTAAGAAGGGAAAAATAAATAAAAAAGGCACATACTTACTTAATAAACAAATCAGACATGTAATCCTCCTCTTCATCCTCCCCCATGGCCAGCACGCATGCCCTGCTCAGCCCCTTTCCCCAAACACCTCACAACCCCCACGCTGCCCGGTAGGCGGCTGAGGGGAGCCCCCCGGCCCTCCACACGTCCCCGAGCACCTAAACACCCACCTCAGCCCGGCGCCTGCGTGCGGCCGCCCCTTCCCTTCCCCTTCCCTCCCTTCCTTTCCCTTCTCTTCCCCGCCCCGGCCCGGCCGCTGGCGCCTGCGCTGCCGCCGCTTCCTGCTGGAGCTGCGCTGCCCGCTGAGGGTGAGGGGGGCCGGGCTGGGGCTGGGGCCGGGGCCGGGGCCGGGGCGGTTGCAGCGGCCCCGCTCGGGGCTCGTTGCCCCGGGGGCTGGGTCCCCTGGCAAGGCGGCCCGGGTGAGCCCCGGCTTGGGGCTGAGCGCTTCTCGGGAGGGTTTTCTGGCACGGCTGGGGGGTTAATGCCTGCCTTGCTGCGGTGTAGCAGAGCCCCGGGGGGGGGTAACGGGGGCGCGGTGCCCCCTGCGCGGGTTGGAAGGTGGTGGGCAGGCTTATGGGGGCTCCCAAGCAAGGCTCTGGTGGTTGTCGGTGGCCTGGGGAGAGCCCAGCTGAGGGCTTCAAGGCCCTTCAGCCCCCTGAATGCCTTGTAATTTATCCTGCATCGGATCCTGTGTGCCTCGGTGGCACGGCTGAATGTGTGCCTGCGTGCAGGGTGGGGAGCCAGGGCTTGTGGTCCCTAAATCCAGCAGGCGGAGAGGTAAGGGATTCATGGATGAGGGATTCAGGACTCTAAAGGCCAGGGAGAAACCACAACTTTTGGCTGGGGAGGAAAGGGAGCAAGGAGCTGTTGGGTCAGACTTGCTCTCCAGAGAGCCTTAGTGCTGCCATCGCTCACTGTGCTTCTCTCTGCTCTCCTTTCGAGGAGTTTTGGGCAGCCAAAATACCTGTGTACCTGTGTACCTTAGCGATGGGGAAGACCTCTGAATTCTTCGTAACGTTGTAAGAAAATAATGATCCAGCAAAAGTGTTTGTGAGGTATCAGCGGGAGGGCACTTCTGTACGTGGCCATTCCACCTTTGCTGATCTGCCCCTGGTGATGTAAGTAACAAAAAAACACCACAAAATACGGTACTGAGGGTGCTGTGACAGTTCCTAAAAATTCAGTGCTCACAGGTGAGTTTAGAACCCCATTACAGTTGTGATATTGGTGTGTCACCTTTCCCTACTGTCTAATGGGGAGCCGATTTATAAACAAGTAAAGTTATTTAATTTAATTCATTTCACTTTAAGAATTTGTTGGGTTTGACCTCAAACGAGGAAGCAGGGGAGAGCACAGTAAACACCCTGAGAGTACGGGCAGAGCGGTGCAGCTGTAGGAGGATAGCCATGGGGAGGCACGGTGCTGCTTGTTTGATTCGCCTTTCCTGTTCTACCTGAGATCCAAGTTTTAGCATCGCTAAACTCGGGTTTTAGGTTTGGTGTGGTGATTGTTGTTGTTTTTTTGTTTTTTTGTTTTTGTTTTTTTTTTTCTTTGGGGGGGTAGTTTAGCAGAAGATGGTTGATGTAGTTGAGTTCTGTTTGTTTTTTTAGATGTTTTTCCCCCCATCAGTTGTGCATTAAACAGCTCCGCTTGCTTAAATGTGGTTTGCTGAAGGAGACGTTGCCTGCAGGGTGCTTGCTTATGCCAGTGGTGTGCTTTTGGTGGTGCTTCGCTGCTGCCCCCCAGTCAGTGAGCAGGGTCTCAGTGTTGGATGTGTGGTGCTTTGCCTCTAGGGGAGGCGCGCAGTCCTTTGGCTGCTGCCTCTGCTCCAGGCTGCTCTGTTTCAGAGGCACGTTTGTCCACCCTGTAAAGAAAGGCCAGGGGGCTCTGGGAAGTCTTAGATCAGTGATCCCAAATGCTGTCACAGTTCCTGCCTCTCCCAGATTTGTGAGGGATGGGAAATCCTATTTATCCTTTCCACCCCTTGCTCTTCTTCTTGCAGTTAAATATTTTCGGCCACCCTAGAATATCAGCTGCAAAACTGCATTAGGCCACAGAGTTATGTCTGCTGTGCGATTTTACTGACTTGACATGTTGGTAGATTATCCTGTGATTTTTAGTGATACGTTTTAAACTGGCAGAGATGAGTATTACTTCTAGAAAACGTGTATTTCTGTGTTCCTTAACATGGTGCTGCTGTTCGCATATGTCGCTTCTGCAGCTCTGCTGTGCTCTGGAACTATGTTTGGTAGCGTGCAAGCCTCGTGCTGTGCTATTTCTGTGGAGCCCACACTTTGTGTCTCGGGACATGCATACATTCTTCAGAAAAAAGAATCGTTCGCTTGTTCCTGAAAGCAGAAGATGCTGATTCTGCATTAGTGCTCGTAAGGGGGTCATCTCCTTCTCGCCTTGTCTGTTGAAGATGTTGAGGAGGTGTCCAGGTTCGTGTTTCAGCTTCAGGAATGGGGTCAAGAGTCTTGATTAGGGACAGTTCTTACTCTGTTTTGTGTGAGAGGAGGCAGTGAGATGACTCCTTTAGCTCTTTTCTGTTGCTTTTTTTTTTTTTTTTTTTTCTTTAGGCAGTGACTTTGGTATATTTTTCCTGGCTCAGAATGTGCACCTTTTAGTTGTCTGTAGGTGCTCTTTTTGCTATTAGCAGCTCTGATCCATGAAGTACTGATGAATGTACTTGGTTGTAAAGCCAATGTCATCTGATGTATTTCATCTTCGTATTTTCATGTGATTTTTAAAGCTCTATACTGTTGTACTATACTTCATACTAATACTACAATTTTTCTTTCAGAGTCACTACAATCTATGATAAAAGCAGAATTTGACCAGTAATGGAGCTGGCTCATAGTTTGTTGCTGAATGAGGAAGCGCTAGCACAGATCACAGAAGCAAAGAGGCCCGTCTTTATCTTTGAGTGGTTAAGATTTTTGGATAAAGTTCTGGTAGCTGCTAACAAGGTAAGTGGTGTTTTTTTTTCCTTTTTCTACAACATGTATTGATTTTAATATAGAGAAAGTGAATAGATAATATTCAGATTATAACTGTCTGATCCCAGATTCAGCCTCCGTTTTAGTTTGTTGCTTTTAAGTGTTTAATTGTAGGCAGTCAGAGTGACTCTTGCATAAACCGTTTAGTTTGGTTCCTTTTCTAAAGTGTAATAAAGTGTCATAAGGTGAATCCTTCCCTTCTGGTGTAGGGATTCTTGATGGTAAAGGGGATTAAAAGATGTTCTGTGCAGGTAATACTGTAATTTTAGTAAGTCATTTAAAGAATGTAAAAATTACTTAAAGTAACGTCCAATTCTGATCATTTAGCATCTGTCTCTGCAGTTACTGGGTGTATCTAAAGCCTCTCTGAATTATGGGGAAGTGAGAGTGGTATAAGGTTTACTTCAGTCTCTTGTATTTTTGCTTAGTGTTGTTTGAAACAAGACTTACTGTGTTAATTTTTGGTCCGTTAACAGACAGATGTCAAGGAAAAGCAGAAGAAACTAGTAGAACAGCTAACAGGACTCATCAGCAGTTCCCCAGGGCCACCTACACGAAAACTGCTAGCAAAAAATCTGGCTGCTCTCTACAGCATTGGAGACACATTTACTGTTTTTCAGACACTTGACAAGTGTAATGACATCATCAAGAGCAAAGATGACACGGCAGCCTACCTGCCCACAAAACTGTACGTTCAGTATTACTGGGGAAAGGGGAATAATGTTTTTAAGCAGAGTGGTCATGGATGTTACAGAAAAATCTGCCTCTATATGTGCATGTTTACTTACATTGTTCATGCTTTGGTGGAGTTTATATATGATTGCTGTAGCAGGAAAAAAGAGCAATATTGAGGTTGTGGAGGGCAGGATTTGAAGGTGACAGATACACTTCTGTCTGAAAGTTCGATACTTTCCTCTAGGCAAAGGAGTATCTTATGTTTCTTCACGTGCTTATGCAGTGGAGAGGATGACAGTAGTTATGCAACGTATAAATAATGCAGTGAAGCAATTCCACCAGTTTTATTGGTGATTGAGCCCAAGTACCCAATTTATGATAGAGCCTGCAGATCAGAAGCAATTACCAAGGGAATTGTAACCAAGCGTAGAAGCTTCCCCCACCTCGAGCATTGCTTGCTTCCATTCCCCTGTCGTAATGTACTGCTTAAGTCTCTCAGGGTCTGTACACTTGGATGTGGGCGTGCATGTAGATGTGATCCAGCTTGTCTTCATGTATAGGAGCAGAGTCTCACTGGTAGGAATCTGGTTAATGCCACAAGCAACATCTGTTGAAGCTGCTTTAGGGCCCTACCACCTGTGGGGTATCACGTCATATATTCACGGTGTCTAGCAAATCTCCATTTGGGCTGCCTTCATGCATTACCATAATGGGGTGTAGGGGTGTAACAACAAAATTTGAAGTAGTCACCATTTGTGGTGATACTGTCCTTCTTTCATCTGAAACTGTTGCAACTCTGTGAGAAACACCTATAAGTAGAACAGGCTTAGTACTGTCACATGCACAGAAATTCATGCTACCTGTTGAAGTGATAATCAAAAACGGTCTTTTTTTTTTCTATATGGTTTCAAGCTTTAGCTTTTTGTGTTTGTGTAAAAGAGTTGTGTAGGAGACGTGCCAGTTAAGCAGTAGGCTGTAATCAGTTTGTAACACAGTTTTGAGGGGAAAAAAAAAATTACCCAAGAATTTCAGGTTAAAAAAAAAAAAAGACTTATTTCTTCATAGTGAAAATGTGCATTTTTTTCAGGATTTGTGTCTGTAACTGCCCTGGAGCAATCTGCATATCCAACTGCACTACACTGCTTCCTAATCAAAAACATCCGGGAAAGGAAAAAAATGTATATAAGTGGTTTTGGATACAGTGATTTTTTCAGAGTGTCCATACATGTTATTGTGTTAGTGCACTGTAACTTAAGATACATAAGATCTTAGGCTTGGAAAAGAAATCTCTCAGTATCTATGAAAATGTACCAAATATATTGGGGGGGAGGGGGGGGGTGTTTCTAGTTCACAACTTTGTTTACCAAGTACCTGTTAATAGAAGAACACAAATTCCTGGTCTTGCTGAGATTTCAGCATGTACTCGTCTTTTCCAGAATTTCTGTGTAGATAATGTAGATCATGTAATAATATCCATTCAAATACATATA